ATTATGTTATCATTACTAACTTGTTTAATATTCAGTCCACATGCATGAAGTGTGAAACGAGAACGGCATAACCTTACGAAAAAAGAAAACACGGAAAAATCGCGGTTGCTGCGGTTCTTGCATTCCTCTGCGGTTTGCTCGTCAATAGCGCGGTATTGCGATATTGCGGTTATCGCGACAGCCCTAGATAGCGGACCCACATACTCAAAAGTACATTTCTCCTCTTCTCACTACCACGACGGTAAGTTCCCCACCCTCATGCAGCGACCTGCCAGTCAAAAAACTAAAACCGCTGACCATCCGGTTTCAGGCATGGAAAGCCATCCCGGATGTGTCAAGCTGGGTTGTAAAAACCATAGTGCGAGGTTACTCGCTCCAGTTCGCTCGCAGGCCACCTCGCTTCAGAGGTATTATTCAAACTTCGGTACAGGACAACGATGCTCACGTTCTCCGGGCCGGAGTGCAAACTTTGCTCGCAAAAGGAGCCGTAGAGACGGTTCTTCCATCGAACAGCGAGTCAGGCTTTTACAGACGCTACTTCCTCATTCCCATTCTCGATCTCAGGCATCTAAACCGCACGCTGATGAAACGGCCGTTCAAGATGCTACCTTTGAAACAGATCCTCATGCAGATTTGCCCGGGGACTGGTTTTTAACAGTGGATCTGAAAGATGCTTACTTTTACATCACAGACCGTTCTTGAGATTCAATAGTGGCATATCATTATACAGTTCTTCCATTCGGACTGTCTCTGGCCCCACGCACTATTATGAAGTGCGTGGATGCAGCTCTTTCCCCTCTGAGGCAGATGGGAATCCGTATCATGATTTACCTCGACGACTGGCTTTTGCTAGCCAGGTCAGAACAGGAGCTTATTGCTCACAGGTCGCTGCTACTCAGCCATCTGGGCTAAAAATCAATTTAGCCAGTAGTAGTCGGCTCCTCCCCTTTTGGCGGGCTGAAGCGCCATTTGTTCGTGCAGGTACACGAACATGAAAAAATCAGGCTTCAGTATCACAGTAAACAGGAGTTTCTCCATAAGCATGTATTCGCAACGTTCATCGCTTATCTCAGGAAAATTAAATAGAAAAGGGGCAATAGAAAAATAAATGTTCAATATCTTCAACTGATATCTTACAAAACACTATGAATATATCTGCTAACAGCTGCATTTACAGGATAACACCTGTGAATAATTTTGTAAAGTATTTCTTTTACTTTATTAGAAATAACATGTTTGTATGGTAATGTCCAAATGCTATGCCAAGATATACAATGAGGTTTAAGCCATTTGGATTTACACGGAGGATTAGATTAAAAGAGTTTCTTACAAAACTGTTCTTAAAACGTTTGTCAAAAAAGGAGAGACCATTTACAAAAAATTGGGGATTTTTTTACGGTTGAATTATTATTACATCTGAGATTATGGTTATGATTATTATGCCACTGGGAATAGCCTTAATACTTTGTTAAATTCTTTTTCGTGACTGGTCCTCCCTTGCCAGCGTTGAGAAAAACAACAGGTACCACGTGACCACGTTGTCTGTGCGCTACTTTAAAAGTTGTCTGAATAATAATTTATATCTATACAATGACACTGATAAATGGTAATTAAAAATAAAGTTAAAATACACACTGAAGAGGTCACGTAAAATAATTATTATTTACATAATCGAAGAAAAGCCCCGTTTAGGCACTCAATTTCGTTCCATGTTACATTTTTGTTCTGTGTCTTTAGGCCGTGAATGAATGTCTGTAGCCTACCTGCACCAATAACGATCGCATCATATTGAGGTTTGAGGGCAGTGCTGCTGTGGCTGCCACGCCGTGTCACTGAAATAAACCCCCTGTGCGCACAACCTGCCCTGACAGCCGCAGCCATGACGAGTCCTGACAGCCCGCAAACCCAAAACTCAAACTCCACAACTTCGCCTTCTCTTCACAGTGTACTGGGGGGAAAGTCCAAGTACAAGGTACTTTTCCTCTCCTTGGAACACTCCTCCCCCACAAGTTAAAAAAAAAGTGAGGGTGGGGGTCCAGCAGGTACCAGGGGTCCTCATAGGAATGCTAGGGGTGGGAGGAAAAGTTTTGAGGAAATCAGGGTAAAAAATGTAAAAAATAAAAAATAAATAAATAATACATTGAACTATTAAACTAACCAACTAGTAACTAACTAGAAAAAAGACAATAATTTTCGTGACTGGTCCTCCCTTGCCAGCGTTGAGAAAAACAACAGGTACCACGTGACCACGTTGTCTGTGCGCTACTTTAAAAGTTGTCTGAATAATAATTTATATCTATACAATGACACTGATAAATGGTAATTAAAAATAAAGTTAAAATACACACTGAAGAGGTCACGTAAAATAATTATTATTTACATAATCGAAGAAAAGCCCCGTTTAGGCACTCAATTTCGTTCCATGTTACATTTTTGTTCTGTGTCTTTAGGCCGTGAATGAATGTCTGTAGCCTACCTGCACCAATAACGATCGCATCATATTGAGGTTTGAGGGCAGTGCTGCTGTGGCTGCCACGCCGTGTCACTGAAATAAACCCCCTGTGCGCACAACCTGCCCTGACAGCCGCAGCCATGACGAGTCCTGACAGCCCGCAAACCCAAAACTCAAACTCCACAACTTCGCCTTCTCTTCACAGTGTACTGGGGGGAAAGTCCAAGTACAAGGTACTTTTCCTCTCCTTGGAACACTCCTCCCCCACAAGTTAAAAAAAAAGTGAGGGTGGGGGTCCAGCAGGTACCAGGGGTCCTCATAGGAATGCTAGGGGTGGGAGGAAAAGTTTTGAGGAAATCAGGGTAAAAAATGTAAAAAATAAAAAATAAATAAATAATACATTGAACTATTAAACTAACCAACTAGTAACTAACTAGAAAAAATACAATAATCTAATGTAATAAAAACAATTTTTTTTTCAAATAATATTTTACACATCTGTAGCCTATAATATTAATCGGTCACAGTATAAATGAATGAAACATAGATTATGCTATAATGGGGCTAGGTGAAAGTGATCTAAAAAAAATCCTGGGTTATTCTTTCAACCCAAATGCCGGGTTGAGCTTTTTGGATCTTTTTTTTTTTTTTTTTTTTT